GTCTGATAACACGAAACTCGTTAATATTCGCGAATTATAATATATACACAGACAATTCGTATGACAGAGACATACAAGTATGTAGGCAGCTGTATTTTATGCGATCGCTCACGTATCGATCTTTAATGAAAGGCTATCTAATAATAAGTTTTCCTTCGTAACAAACTGTCATCTACGTCACTTGCTCCTGCAGGGCAAAATGTCATGCTTTTGGATATTTGCGAATAAGAGTTATGTACGTAAAGTACGACACTCGTGCAGTGTGCTCTAACGTATTTTTCGGTTCTCTCTCTTTCTCTGAGACCGACCATATATATATTTCATCGCATCGATGACAACTCTATTTCTTCAAGTGTCCTGGATCTGAGTAATGAGCTTTATAATCAGATTAATCCACGTTGGGGAAGGAGGGTTTGGAAGATTTCTTTCTCCCGTCTCGTATTTCATTTTCCGTCTGATGGAAATCCGTTCATTACGCGAAATCGCGATGATGCGAAATTTCAATTAACGATACGCGATATCATTATTAGCAAAAAAATCGGAGGACTGTCTTGCCTCGAGTGATAAAGAAACTAGAACGTTCGCTGAATTATTGGGAAAGAATGGACACTTGACCGAGACAATTTCACGGCGATGTGATTCGGTTTCGCGAAAAGTCAGGATGTTTCAACGGTACAGAAAAATGTCACGCTGTCTAAGAGAAAAGTTTTCGGCTCTAACGTCGCGACGGTTCGAATATTGCTCTGTTTACAACAAAACTCCGTTTCATTGTTTTCTCGTCTAATCCTCGAAGAGAGATCGACACAACAAAAGCTCCATAAAGAAAAACGCGCACATATACATACCTACATAATATACTTACATGAGTGCACATCACGTCAACCTATCAATCGTGCTTATTTTTTCAGACAAAATCATTCGAAATGTGTAAGAATAAATTTCTTTATTCAACGACATTATTCTTCGTAGTTATTATAAAATTGCAGTCTCTTATCTTCTTTCGTTAAAAAATAAAAATTTCATGAGAGCGATGCAAAAATTTATGCTGTATTTCCTCTTAGAGGGTGCTTAGGGTTTTCCGCCTTTAGAAATGTATAAGCTTTTTCAAGTCATACATATGAGCCGTTCCAAGCCGTTAGGCTTGAAGATATAAGAAATTCAGAAAATCACTCACTTGGAAACAATTCTTTTCTATTATCCTTATACGTACTAGTCACTCGTACTAGCGCGCGCGCGCGTACGAGGGAAATAAGATTTTTTTAATTCATAGAGGAATCCGTTGCTTAATCTACAATGTGGATAATTCTCGCTCAATTACAATAGAACAAGTTTACAGCATGCCAATAAACAAGGTCAATCTTGAAACAAGATAGACCTCGTTATTACGCATATTAAATATTTAAAGCTGCTAACAGTTAATTACATATTGCTGTTTACATGCACCACCCGTTCGCTTTATGCGTTATTTCAATACGCGCTCGGATAAAATATTTCTTTCGCAATAACCCGAGGCTTCATATATACATCGCCAGCAATTTATATATCCAATTAAGTCGTAATTAGCTCGTTCGATGATTGCATAAAATTTACGTATCGCCAAATTGGCAGATTTTGGCAAGCGTATCGTAACAAAACTGAACGACGTATCGGCATAAAAAAAGTCTGATGCAAGTAAATGAACAAAGTAAATGAATGAAGTTTTTCCGGATCGATTTTTTTTATCCCACAATTTAATCCGACGAATAATCCATTGTTAAATGACATTAGACCCAAGACTCTCTTGAAACGAGAGAAGCACGTCGATTTCGCCAATTACGGTTTTACCAAAGACGAGGATAAAGGCGTGTAAAAATGTAATAAATGTAAAATACGAACCGATTGTTGAGCGGGTCTGGGATTGGACGATCGGATTGTTATTCGCTTCAGCGTTGGATTGTGGACGATGATCGGACGTGATGCTGGTCGTTGAAATGATATTGTTAATGGTATTAGTGCTGCCGGGCACGGACGTTGTCGATGTTGTCGAGGCTGACATTGTCGTCGAGGACGGATTTGTAGCGTTCGTAGTTGGCTTCGAAGACCAGGAGCTGCAAGTGTCGCAGCCTTCGGCGGAGCGTGTTGATAAACGGCAGCAGGACCAACGTTTTCCGCTCCATAGGCCCGCGTGATAACGCCCGCTCAAGCCCGAATTCTCACTGCACACTACAAATAAGTAGTCGTTCGCAAATTGTTTTTAAGCATAACGTATTGCGCTTTAAATTACAAATTATGGTATGACTTCGAATTTTACTCTCGGAATTGATTTAATAGGCGTGGTCGGTCCGAATTTTACTGCAATTTTACTGCACAATTCGTAATATTTTACAAAAATTTTAATCATGCATATCTGTACATCAACGATGAATTTAGAGTAATAGACTTGTAGATTATACTATCCGACACAGGTTTTTAAATCACGAACAAAACCAAATAATTCTTATAGATTTTTTGTCACTAAAAACCAATCTGTAAATTGTTCTATTACATTTATCAGATATTTCAGGTAAAAAAAAAATCTAAAAATGTTGTTTTTGGCATCTTTAGTATCAAAAACCTGATGTAATAGAGCAATAAGCAATTGTATTTACAGATTCGTTTTCAGCGACAAAAGTCGTCATCTACAAACATACATATTTTTTGCATTTTAAATATACCAATAATTTCTTTTAATACTTTTCCTTTTATTTGCAATAAAAATTGGGCACCGAAAGACTCATTCTACCGTCACTCTAGTTACGGTAGGGAAAGAAAGACGTGGAGGAAGAGGGAGACTTACCAGCGCGTATAGCGCGTATCCATTCGGCGCGATCCTGTTCGCGAGCGGCAAGGAGGTAGAGTGTGTACTCTTGACCAGCTTCCCGATATCCCACCTGGAAAGGCAGTCCGGATGGTATTCCGCCGCCTCCGCCGGCAGCGTCGCCGCCGCCTGCCGCATCACTGACAGCACCTCCACCATTCCCGAGGCTGGCCGTCTCCACCACGTGGACACTCTCCACGGCGATCCGTCCGCGTTCCTTGCGGCGCTGCAACAATTTCTCAATCTGATTAGCATTAACAGTCGATTCAAAATCAAATCGGTTGGCGCTGACACCAACAACTTTGACACCAGAGCTCCTCGGATAGAGGAAGGGAGGGAAAGGGGGGGAGGGAGGGAGGGAGAGAGAAGGTCAAGGACGATATAAATTGCATAACGACAGTATTATCAGAATTAAAAATCTTGGATGTGTCGGATTGACACATCCAATTGGAGATACTGGTTGACGAGGGATGTATTTAACACACGGACGTTGATTTTTACTGACAAATTAAATTAAATTGTAATAAGATATTCGTAGCATAATACGTAGTGGGTCTATCGTTGGAATATTGATATGATACATCTATATTTTAAACGCGAAAAAGTAATTTGCAAACGGCATCCAGCGACTTTCCCCGGAAACATTTCTAGCGGAATTCATAGGGGTTCATGCAACATGAATTGTCCACCCGACGACGGACAAGCTAATCAATTAAATAAAAACGAACGAAAACGGAACGAAAGGTATCCGAATTCGGCTCTTTACCTCCACGTTGTATGGTAGAGCTCGTGACGTGGTGAACAGGATCACCAATCAAGTCGGTAGGATCCGCACGTGGATCACTACGCCAAGATCGTATGACGTTGGCCACAACGTCCGAGATCGGTATGACGGACGATGCGTAAGAGGCGATTCTCTCGGAGCGATGTGAAAAGATAATTGAGATCACAGCTGATCACAATTGGTGTCTCTACAAGGAGTGTCCGTGAAGGGTTCCGACAGGTATATACTGTGGAACCCTACTCGCGAATCAGATAGGACAAGATTCACCACCAGAACGGTTGAATTACGTCCGCGTGTGTCTCTCTATTTTGTTCATCGTACGAGAGAGAAAGAGGGAGAGAAAGATATATATCAGAGATTAAAGCGTTATAGACTCGTCCGAGGAATCGTCAATTTGTGTGGAACGATACCAAACGCAATCTAAGGATCGTGCGTCGTCGGAGACCGACCTCGAACGACGGCCACTGACTGAGCAGCATCAACGACGAAGAAGCGGGAGGAGGGATAGGATGGAAAATTCGGAGCGCCTGCGCCACTAATTTCGTAGGTATACGGTATAGGTGCATGTTATCCGCCATCTCCTACTGGAATCATCACCATCCCTACTACCTCGCTCAATTCGCGGAGACGGAGACGGAGACGGAGATAGCTATTAGTGCTAGTCACGATCGCACGCGGTTACCGAGCCGATCACCTCCACCCTGCTCGTCGTTCAAACAGCTCAACCTGCTCAACCTCTAATGCGTCGTCTACAGTCTACAATACACAGTAAGGAGTAAGAAATTGACCAATCACAGCCGAGTGTGAGAATAGCCGACTGTGATTGGTCAATTTCTTACTCTTACTTCTTACTCCTTACTGTGTATTGTAGACTGTAGACGACGCATGAATGAGTTCTTGTCTAATTGTCTCTTGGATAAAAACAAAAAGTCGAGCGTGTTCCAATCGCCGAATTGTTACCGAATAATTACCTACTAGCTGAATAGCTAATTAAAGTTATGATTATGTATTGATCACAAAATTATTAAGTTTGTAATTCAACTTTTTGGGAAATTTAAGTTTCTGTAATAAAAACATTATTATAATTTTCTACGTGTGGGAATTTTTTGCAACTGTAAAAAAGAAGATGAGTAATGTTTCTGATGCTTCCTGGAATGGTGCGTGCTCATCCATCGTGGACGTAGCGATGCAATATTGTAATCGAATTTTTAAACTCAATGAATGTTTGTACAACAATTTATAAATTCTTTTTAGTAAAATGTTATTAAAGTCACTGACAAAATTAATGGACTTAATTAAAACATCTTCCAACTGTCGTGCTCGATAGATGCACATATTGTTAACACAAATTAGCATAAATGAGCAACTTTGAGAAATAGGGGAAATCTTGCAGACTGTAGATATAATGTTTATTTTGTTTGCACAAATAAAATAGAATCGAAAATACAATTTCTAGCGCGGCCACGCGCGGTTGAATATGACCGTAACAGAAAGTAAAACATTTTGATATATCACAAATTACTTACCTCACCATCTCCGTCGTAGTAGATGAGATAATGTTTGGTCAAGATAAACCATCGTTGCTTGTAATTGACCGGGGTAAAGCGCTTCTTGTTCTGCGAACGTTTTATCATGAATCCCTGCCGAATAACGTCTCCACCTTTTGACTCTAGCTTCCCATCTTTCCCTGCCATCACAGGAGGGCCTCCCTAGCAACAATAATGAAAGTATCATTTTCCTGCATGAGAATGGAGCCCCATCGTCGAGGGGCGTCGATAATTCCACCGCACGAGGGGCTACAATTGATACTTGTTGCACAACATATCCTAATTAGACACGAAACAAAAAAAAAAAAAATTACATTCGCGGTCTCTCCCATCCGGCTTATCCGGTCTATTTGAGATAAGTAAAGGAGGCGAAAGAAATATCTAAATATAGCACCTTTTTCCTCGTCCCATAACCCCCGCCCCCATACGAATGCGAAGGAGTGATGCGGCGCTCAGAGGCGCTCACGTGTCTGGTCTGGTGTCTGGTGGCGATTATAACCAACGATCATTAGGCATCGTCGAGAACGGGCTACGGGCTACGGGATCCAGAATCCAGGATCCAGGCGGAGGCGAAGAGACTCAACGAGACTCACGAGGCGCAGTCGAGAGAACGACCTGAACGACAGCTTGAACGACACGGACGCTCCCAAAAGCGGTACTTATCGCGCTCGAGCACGATTGAATTCGAATTCTCCGGATCGCGCCTCTTACTATGCGACGAACGTGTGGCCTGGCCGCCTGGCCGGTGCGACTACCACCTCGCGATCATTCCGGCATTCCCGGCGTCCAAACAAAGAGTTCACGTGGAACGCACACAATCTGTCAAAACGCAGACGTCTCGCGGCAGTCGCGGCGCGGCGCGGCCAGCGGCGACGTCCGACGTCGGGTTCAGGGGGTCCGGGGTCGGGGATGGGAAATGGGAATTGGCGGCATTGGCCAGCCGGCGCAGGCGAGATAGGTAGTCAGGAAATGTCTTACCACGCTGGTCAACGCCAGTCAACAGTGTCAACACGACCGACCGGGTCGACGCCAGTTTCAACATGGGCTTGAGACTTGCGAGGGAGAGCGTCCCGTGAATATCAATGAATATCGGAGAGAGAAGAATGGATCTTGCATCCTTGCGAGGAAAATCGACGCGAAACGAGACGAGACGAGACGAGACGACACCAAACACTTGTCGACCCGCGTAGCACCCAGTAGCGCCAGTAGTGCAGTACGGTGCAATACAGTGCAGTACAGTGCAGTACTAGGCCACAGTCAGTAGCACCACGCAAAATGACCGACCAGAACTGTCAAACAAGTGACTGTCGACTGAAGTGACGCAACTAGAATCGAGAGCGCCTTGTTTGACTCTGTGTTTCGCTTTGACGCTGTGGAAGATCTTGGCAGGCGTAATACGATTTACATGATATTACAAGCGACTACAGGATAGTACAGGAGCGGCGATCTCCGCTCAAGGAAATTGAGAAAGGATTCTCAGGTAACCTGTCTTTCCGCTCGTCGACCTCATCCGCTGGTATCAAGGTGTGAATAGAGGTGAATCGAGAATGGCGGCTGCCGAAGCGATACAGGTCAGCTCTCTGCCGCTGCCGCCCGTCCAATACATCAATCTCTACACGGATGAGAATGTACGGCGTGGACGAGCTCCGCGACCGCCGCCGCCGATCCATGACACCTACTCCATGTTCAGCAACATGTTCAACGCCGATGACACCATCATTAGGCCGCTCGAGGCCCAGGGCATCAAGAGGTTGTACCCGCAACACTTTGATCGTCGGCGCGAGTTGAAGAAGCTCAATCACTCATTGCTCGTCAATTTCCTCGATCTGATAGACCTTCTTGTCCAGTGCCCCGATAGTCCAAGACGCGCGGAGAAAGTAGGCTATTTCTAATTAAAAAAAAAAACCTCTGTTTTCATTTAGATATAGAGATGAAAAAATAGCTTCTTTTTTTTTACTTTGTAAAATTTATTTATTTTTAAACTGTTTAATATTTCTGTTATTTCGACGTTATCTTTAATAGCGGAAACATTCTTGTGTTGATTTAGTATTTAATGAGTTGATCAACGAAACTGAATCTAAGTATATCCATGACTACCACTTGTGTTAGTTTCTATCAATGTCGGATTAAATTTTATCTTTGTTCTACTGATTCTCCATCTTTTTCTAATTCTTACTAGAAAACTAGAAAAAAAAATGAAGAGTTGAACTGAAATGAAACTGTCATTGATGGAAACAGGCTTTGTACTGTATTCTGATTATTTACAGCTAAGTATTTTTAGACAGAAATCTTTTGATGAATGCAAAAATTGATTTCTAGAGCAATTAATAATATAGCGTCAAATGTTCAAAGAAAATATATATCTGAATAAAAATTTTTTACTGCGTTTTGTATTCAAAGTTCTTACTTTTTTATAATTTGTCTTTTTTATAATCTTTATTTAAATATTAAGTCTAAAGACACTAGTATCGCGTCTTAAAATGTAAGAGCAATATGTAAGCAACATCTATTGATTATAGTGGAAGCAGTAACATAAACAAAAGCAAATCCAAAATGTTTATTTGCTTACTACATGTTTTTTTTTTCATATGCCATAGCCTTAAGGCTTAAACATTTTTTATTTGTTACTACTTCTTATTGCCTTACGTTCTTCTTATTCCCTACTGTAATCAATTGATTTGCTTACAGCTTTAGTTTTGCTGCTTTCTACGTTTTCCTATGTTCTATGGCCTTTATATTCTGTGATGGAACAGCTGACGTTTTTACAGGTTGAAGATCTCAGTCTATTATTCATTCACATTCATCATCTGCTAAATGAATTTCGACCGCATCAAGCTAGGGAAACGTTGCGAGTTATGATGGAACTACAACGTAGACAACGTCATGAAACAGCGCTGCGTTTCCAGAAACATCTCGAAAAGGTATATATCTCGACTCTTATTCACATTGGATTTTCTTTTCAACCTTTATAGTAATGTTCACGTATAATTTTCACGATTGTAGCTAAAAATGTTAAAAATTGTTCCAGGTTCAAGAAATATTGCAGCATGCGTTACAGATGCTTCCCGATACATCGGAATTGGACTCCAAGCTTGCGATAAACACAGATGCTATGGAATCCGTAGACAATTTAGGCTTCGAACAACAAACGCAGGATCCTTGTAGTTCAAGTGATCGTATTATGTGCAAAGTGATAGACGATATGCTTTCCTCGAATGGAATGTTTTGAGGTATCACTCTTTATTCTCCAATGTGCAGATTAATATACCAAGGAATATTCTGAAATAACTGTACATAATACACAACAGTAGTATGATGTGCTTTTGAAAATGTTATTAGTTATTTAATAAAATGACAATATGTTCTTTAGATAAAGGCCTGCTGGTAATGTAGTGTCTAAAACATATTTTATATATTGTGCTTACATATTCATCTACAAAGACTACTCTCGAAATAGAAGGATTTTATTTTAAAAGTTGCTTACACTTAATTTTTTTTATACTTTAATAATACAAAAGTTTGACAAAATTTTATGTATGTATAACTCGATAACAGATATATCACTCGCGTGTATTTTAAATTTAACAAGACTGAGATTACATGTGATTGTACAAATGCAATTAACACATACAAATGCCCTGATTTGACAAAATAACCAAACGAGCAAAAATAAGGATGTAGAAAATACAGAATAATAATATATTTCGAATTTACATAATCGATTTACGTTTCGACTTTACAATCTTTTTTAAAATCTACCTCTCTTCGAAAGAAACAAATCCAACGTATATGTTACTACAGAGAATAAATTATCGCCACACACACACACACACACACACACACACACACACACACACACACACACAAAAACTCCTGTAAAATAATATAACAAAAGGCCAAATCAGTCGAGACAGAATCTTCCATAATTCTCAATAAATACGGTGGTCTTGTGATCAATGCTTTAATCCTTCTTAACAATGAAAAAAAATTTTTTAAATTTAGTCGTAAAAAAATAAAATTTTGTAATACTAGATTTATCTTTTTCTGGCGATAATCAGTTAGATGTCCAAATACCATTTAAGTCAAGAAGTCATTTAAATCTAAACAAATCAAATAATAATGAAATATGGAATGCAACAAATGAATAAAAACTGTAGGAAAAACTTACAAAAACCGTTAATATTGTATTAAAAAGTATTTTATTTTTTGTCAATTATGGAAAATTTTATCTCGACTGATTTGACTCTTTGTTACATTATTCTCTGGCTTTTTTTAATGTATATGCGCTTTATTCTCTGTAGTAACACATAAGTTGGACTTGTTTCCAGGTATATTTAAAAAAAGAATCCGTAAAGTCGAAACGTAAATGGATTATGTAAATTCGAAATATATTATTGTGCTTGCTACATCTTTGTTTTTGCTTGTTTTTTCAATGTCAATTTTATTGTTATTGTTTATTAAATGTAATTTACTTGTCTGGTCTTGGAATCAATTAATTCATCTTATTAAATCGATTACTTTCTTTTTATCATTTTCTCACTTCTTGTATTTATTGGGTAAAAGAACAGCACATAGTATTAAATAATGTTATTTATTGAAATAATCAAAAACACATTCACAAATTTTGTATAGATAATATGTTTTTCTACATGATAGTGATGGATAAAAGGAAAGGAAAGAGATGGAACAATACCTTTTAAACTCACCTCACAAACAGCAATCACATGAGAGAGAAGGAGATATATTTTATATATACATATAATAATAAACATATATCCACCGCAACTCCTGGAAGAAAAATATTAATTAGTTTCTCCAAGTAGCCTCTGCTTCTGCATGCATTTCTGAAAGATTTCTGTAATGGAAAAAAGTGTGTATATATACATAAAATATTTATATACGCCGAGGTGCAGTCCTCCCAATTTCCAAGTCTTTCGTTAATATATGCTTCCTGCAAAAGAAAAACAATATAATAATTGCTTCTTCATTGCTCTTCATCTTATTTATCGAAAAAACACAAAATTATGAACCATTCTTCCCACAATCGAATATATATTTTATGTTAAAAATATATTTAAAGATTATATAATTTTAAATAAGATATTTTAGAAATTCGAAGAAGCGCGATATGTGTATTTGTTAACTTTTTACATATTTTTGCAAATTAAAACAGAAGAATCTCAAATTTTATATA